CCCACTCAAAAGTGCTGCTCCCTTTTCTGAACTCTATGTTACTGTTCTCATCCATCTACTCTTTTGTCCCCCTTGCTAAAAAGGCCAATTAAAAAAAAAAGTATTCCAGTGATCATGGTTGAGATTAAATTCATCTGGGAAAACACATGCATATTTTTAAGTTTTTTAAAAGGCTAAAGAAAAACAAGGAGGTGAAAAAGTGATGACATGGTCAATGTGAAAGGAAGATTAAGGTTTTTTTCTGAAAACTTTATGTCGATGAATCTGGGGCAAGAGTCAACAGTAGCAAGGCTATTGCCAGGGCCAGGCCAGGACAAAGAGGGGAGTGTGATACTGAAGAGAAATGAGAAGGGCTGCTCCTTTCCTGTATGTAATGTAAATGTCTTGTAACAACCAGGTTCAGTGTTCAGAAGACCAGCCCTCCAGCCCACTTCTCTTCATGTAGGGCATGGGGAAGGCAGCTGTCTCAGGCAGGACAGCATGGGCAGTGGACAGTCTCTGGGTGCTGGACAGTAGAGAAGATGTAGTTTAGGAACACTCTGGGGAATGAAAATCAAGGGCTGGAGGCAGAGCCAAAGGGAAGGCTGCAGTGAGCAGGAGGGGAAGCAGTGGGCCAGTCAACTTGCTCCAGGCAGAAATGTACACCCCCCAAGCTCTCTCCCACATTCCCCAACCGTACCACCTCGGTCTCCGTTACCCTGGAGACAGGTGGGGAGACTGAAAGAGCCCAGGCACATACTGGAGGGCAGCAGGAGGGCTTGGGCAGAGGATTCTGAGGAAACAACTCTTCACCTGCGTTTACCTCCTTCTGACCATGATCTATGTCTCCCTAAACAAGCTCCCCTCATTCTAAACAGCACCCACCCAGGAATTCCTTGGTGGTCCAGTGGTTTGGACTCTGAGCATTCACTGCTGGGCCCAGGTTTGCTCCCTGGTCAGGGAGCTAAGATTCACATTTTTATATAATGCCATATACCAAAATAAATTCAAGATATTTTATAATATTTAAAATAAAAATAGAATTGGCATGTAATTAGATATTGATCTGATTTGGGTGAAAGAGAAACAAGGAAATAAAAGTGAAAGTAACAGAAGTGAAATCAAAGTAAACTGGGGAAGCTTGCAATACATATGATAAAGGGATTATATCTTTCTCCTACTGATTTGGAGAAACTCTTTATATATTAAAGACCTCAGTAAAAAAATGGGTGAAGAACACAAATACAAATAGACAAATTCTAAAATATATATGTGTAGATAAAAACATGGGAGAAAAAAGTAAAAATATCTTTCACTAGTATTAAAAAATGCAAATTAAATAAAATTCAACTTATTGCCTACCAAATAGGTATACATACGCAAAGTAAATTATGTTAATATCTAATGCTGGTGAGGGGTAACTTAGAGAGCAAAGATTCATAGGTGTGGGCAAGATTTTGTACCAAGATGAACACTGTTATTTATGTTGTAAAAAATTATCAATAACCTAAATTATCGACAATAGGGGACTGATTATGATGGATAATATGATGATATATTAGGAAGTATTAAAGTGATCTTTTCAAAAAACATTTAGCTGATGAAAGTGGTTAAGATATTTCAAAACAAGTTATAAAACAGTACAACATGATCCTAATTAGATTAAAAAATTTTATGAATGGGGTAGGGGAGGCTATATTTTAAAAACTCAACAAAAACAAAACCAAAAACAAACCCTCAAAAAACATTCTATGTAGTGGGATCACAGATGAGCTTTATGATCAGGACCAAAACAACCCTCCCCCAAGAAAATGCTATGCTCCCCCCTTTTCTCCTGTGATAGAAAAGTGCCAACCATTTTAGAAAACACTGATCCTTTCTAAGCAACTCTGGTAAGAAGTTTGATGGACAACAGTTGAAGCAGATGATTCCCATTACCATTATTGATTAACCATGAACTTCAGTTATTTGTTGTTTTTCCCCCATCTAGATTTTCATCATTTTGTTGTTGTTGTTGTTGAAACAGGGAGGAAGATAAAAGATCTGAAGTGGTCCTGAAGTCCATTATTAGCAAAGGGGGTTCTAGGGCACAGGATGGTAGAGAAAGGAAACCAATGGGCAATTTAAAATTGTACAACCTTTTAAGGTGTGCTGTGGGGGTCAAGCAAGGGATAACTGTGTTAAAAAGAAAGAAAAGAAGGCAAGGAAAGAACTCAACCAGAGCCCTTCCCCAGCCTTACACATTCTGAAGAGAAAGGTACCTGTGAAAACCTTTTAACTGAACCAAATCAAGAAACACCATCATAAAAGACAAAAGACACATTTATAACTATTTAAAATGAGAGAACACAAATGAAATAGAGTTAATGCTAGTGCTGAGAAGTCCCTTTAGTGTTGGGGTGGGACAGGGTCCAGAAAAAAGGAGAAAGCTTCAGGTACAAGGTCTCTGTCAGGTCTGCCTTGATGACTTGGAATTTAAACTTCTGCCATGCAGGTATCATCATCCTTAACTTGAAAACCACTGACCTACACTGCCCTGGCCATCTCGCATTGGTTACTGTACTCTAGTAAAGTTTCATACACAGTGGTCCTCCATCCCTTGTAGTTCCATCATAGAAGATGCTGAAATTCTTGCTTCAGGCCTGAACCGGCCAATATCCACACTGTTCTTTTAAGAGTCATCTGCTAGTAGGATTTTTATATAAGTCATGCTCCGGAATCTGGGATGTATTTTTTTTTCTCCCCAGTTGTGTCTTACCAAATAGCAACTTGTTCTGCTATCATTTGGTTATTCCTGATAAGAAACAATTCTTGATAATAAATTTGGTCTACTGGCAGATACCATAAGCTTGTCATCACACAGGTGACAAACAATGCCAACATGACACAATCTGAAATAATGATGAAAAAAGAACCCTTAAAAGTCCAGACAGACAAATTAGTTGGTTAAATGAGAATAATTTGGTTCCAAGTCCCAGAGTAAATCCTACAGCTCTCTGGGTAAAAGTGTTAGAAGACAGAAGAAGGTGCATCAGAATTACTTGGGTCACATCCAGTATTTGATTCATCTTCTGAATTGCCAAGGTATAGATGACATGATGTGTGCCTTTGCCTAATATTAGTGGCACAACTCAATGGTCTGATTTGATGGCTGAGTAGACATATCTACTTGGCGGGAGACCCAGAGAGTCCTCACACTTACCTATTAACTAATCTATCTGAAAAGATGAGCCTAGGGAGGAGGCAGAACTACAAAGCAGTCTCCTCTGGCTCAGACAGGTCAAGACCATTAGAAGGGATAACAAAGTCTCCCATCAAATCCGCACTGGAAGTATTTTTAGCAGTTTCATAGTGAACAGGGGTAGTTCCCAGGTGTGCTAGTGGTAAAGAGCCCGCCTGCCAATGCAGGAGACCTAAGAGATGTGGGTTTGATCCCTGGGTTAGGAAGATCCCCTAGAGGAAATGGCAACCCACTCCAGCATTCTTGCCTGGAGAATCCCATGGACAGAGGAGCCTGGTGGGATATAGTCCATAGGGTCACAAAGAGTTAGACATGACTTAGTGTGCACGCATGCACAGTGAATAACAGCAATTGCAATTCAGAATGTGACATAATCAGATATCCCATCCTTATCCATTCAAAGTAGATGAGGACTCAGATGTGGAACAGAAAAAGATAAGAAAAGAGTAGGATTCTAGCTAAAGAGGGAGGATTTCAACTATTAATTCCAACTATGGTTCATTTCATCCTGAATATACCTGGCTGTAAGATGCCCTTTACTTTGCAGTGCTCTGGTTAAGATCAACTCTATCTCTATTTGGGTTAGTTCACGAAAGCCCCTAGCCCTACAGAAAAAGCAGGCTGTCGTCGTAATATGTTTGTTTGTCTGTCTGAAGAAAATGATGCTCAGAAGCCACACGGTTCTTTACATTTCCTATTGTTCTCTGGAAGACCGAAGTGCTTTCTTCTCCCCACTTTTGAAGAATGATGCAGCATTTTGTCTTTCTTCAAAGACTTTTCCACTAACATATTATTCTGTTCTTAGGGATCTACCCTTCAGAAAGTGCCAAGGGCTTTCCTTTTAGCCACTCATGCCACTAAGGAATTGTCTGCCTAAATAAAAGTATGTTATTATCTATCCTCTTTCCAGGACTTTAAACTACAGATCTCCAAAAACCAGAGAGCAGTTAATTTGCCCTACTGAAACAAATTATATGTGTATTTTAAAAGCTCAATAAACAGTTGCACAGAGTCTCACAGAGCAGGGCTGGTCCTCCTGTTGACCAGACTTCTGAGGCATTTTCCCAGGCAGTCCAGTCTTGATAACTGACTCCCAGAGCCTGATGAAATGGATTCAGAGAGCCTCACTGGAGCTGGAAATCCCTGTCAACATATTTCTATGAACTTTATCTCTTTTGTTTATTCAGGATAGCACCAATATCCAGAAAATCAAAGAGCTGGGAAAGAAGTAGGCAGAGTAGTGGCATGTTATTGGCTCAATCCAGAGGTCTCTGGTGAAGCCGCACTGAACAGGAAACAGAATCCCTAGCATCAACCAGAAAAGCGCCTTTATCACAGCCTGCTGGCTGACCTTGATATGAGATGGTGCTACCTTTCTCAAGGTGGTCAGAACATTCTTTGCTACCCCAATGCACTTGCCCACAGGACAGTCTCTGCTCTAGTAAAGGACACTCCTCCACACCATGGGAGAAAAAGGATAAAATGTACCTCACAGAAAAATTTTAAATCCTTCTCAGCAAGTCCTGTCACAGCAAACAGTTACTTCTCAAATAAGCCATTCAGTTAGGTAGCCACTATTTTGACTCCTTCCTCCCCCACAGGAAACCCAAAGTATCCTACTCGTGAAAGAAATCAGAGGCTCCTAGAATTTTTCTAGGTATCAACTGCCTACCAATACAAACTCAGAGTTCAACTTCATTCTGAAGGGCTTGTTGTCAGTCATGTCATGAAAGATTCGGTGGAAACAGGGAAGTTCGATAAAATATTCATGCTCTCTTACCATTAGCATCTTGGACTCCAGTAAGTGCTCCGACAGCTGCTGCGGTTTCCCCAGACAGGACGATCTGTCCCCCCCCTTGCAAGGTGGCCTCGGCCAGGGTGGCGACAGCATGGGCGGCAGCTTCGCTGTGGGTACAGGAACAGGAGGGGATGTGTGAGGTGAAGGAAGGAACAGCGCTGCCGCAAGCCAGACCGACTTTCACCCCGGACGCCATGTCTGAGGGCCTCCCGGCAAACAAGGGATTCCAGCGTTACTGAGACCACCAGAACAATTTTTAACTGATAACAGTAAATAGCTAGAGAAACGCCAAGTCTTCCGTACTTATACAGCTAGAGTGAGGCTTTTCTTTAAACCTGGGAAATGGGTGTTTGAGGACAGAAGGCACTCCTTCCCAGTCTCTTTTTTACCAGTATCAACTGAGTGCTTGCAAGTCATAGTGGGAGCTCTGATAAAAGGTCACAATGCAAAAGCCATTTTGGTTGTCCACCACAAGGTTTTCTTTTTCTTGATTTACAGTGTGTATACCTTTCTGTTCTACAAAGTGTTTGCTTTGCAGTGAAGGGAGGTTTACTTATTAAGTTTTGAGTCAAGGAGTTTGGGCTTATAATGATAATTTAAACTTTAAAGTGTTAATTTAGTGTTGCCTACATATACATGAGGCAAAAGGAAGGGGTGAACTTTGCAAGATACCAGTCAACCATTACTCTATATTTGAAATCATGGATGTAAATCAAGTTGTTATTATTTAATATATTTTTATGTATATTTTAAATTTTTTTGTTTTATATTGGAGTATAATTGATTTACAATGTTGTGTTAGTTTCAGGTGTACAGCAGAATGCTTTAGTTATATATACACCTCTGATAATAAAATGCATGTAGAAACTTGTAAAAATTTCATTAAGTATAAAAGAAAAATTTAAAACATCGTGTTACTTGCCTAATGATCTTAAACACTTTAACCAGATAGTCAAGATCATATGGTATTACAGTTTTATAGCCTGCTCTTCTTACCTAACTTTGTATTTCCCCATGTAAATATATTCTTTGACATTTGTTCAAAATAATAAGAGCAAAATTGCTGATTTCCCCACTTTCCTAGTTGCTCAGCTGTGGATGTTTTTAATTTCCAGCCTTCTTTGTCTGACTTAGTCCAAGATATTATACATTTCAAATTTTTTACTTCCTTTATAAAAAATTGGGGGATGGAATTGAGGTTGAGCAAAAAAGTTGGACAGAATCAGAGCTTCCATACAGCCCCTTTAAAAGTCAAGATCAATCTCTATGCTAAAATGTACTTCAGATCTGATATCAACAGGCAGTCATTCCACAGTACCTGTAACATGAATTCAGAGGCAAAGTGGACCCTTGACCTGGAATTACTACTAAGGCTACTCTTTACATTTTACAAGGTATATTTTAATTTTAAGATGCATCATAACTATTTATTAGAGATGGTAAAACAAATGATTATTTAGTGCCTAAGACCCATAACTTTGCATATTTTTCTGAGAAGCTTGTGTCAGATAATACTACCAGACAACTCAACAGTGTTCAGCTATCACTTATTAACGATAAAAATATTTAACACTCTGACCTGAGACTTCATGGAAAGCCAGAAAGTAGAGTCTTTGGAAGAGGCTTCAACTGTGTGGTACTCTGAAGAAGAAAGCTGGTATTTGAGAATTGTTTATATGGAAATAGGAGCTGTTTATAGGTCATCTCAACGACTGCTCATTCCCCACAGTTTTTTTTTTAAATCACAATCTACAATAATTTTATTTCTATGACCATCAAAGGTGCTCTCCTGCCACTCTTGGATGCATGCTTCCAGTATGGGGTTTCACAGGCTCCAAGGGGGAGAACAGCTACCCGAGCCCTGACCTGGAAGAGTCCCTGTATCCAGTCACACCCATTTTATGATGTCTGAAAATCTAAATATTTGAAGTCATTTTCTTTGATACCTTTCTAAAGTATGTTATGCAAGGAGAAAAGCTGTGAACCAGCAATGACTAAGGCAACCTGGAGAGCCAGGGATGAGCGGTCTGATGGGGATAACAGGTCTACATGTTGGTGAGGTTACTTACTGCATGCCCCGTCAGGAGTCAGGGGCAAACAGTGATGGATGAATCTTTCACATGGAGCATGAAGACAATGGTGCTGCCTGTGGTCAGCAGACAATTATTTCCAAATCTACTCTAACCACTTACACTAGATTTCATGGGAAATGATCAAATGATATGCTGCTAGAAAAAGATTACCTTTACTTAAAAGGTGAGTCAGGATCAAAATGTCACTAAGCCATCACTTCACAATTTTTTAAGTCATTTCCAAACCAGAATTTCAATGAGACATTTTCATCAACTCCCCCCTCTACCTTTTTCCCATCAACTTTTTATCTGCAAGTGTCTCACCTTCATCTATAGGAAAAAGAGGCAGCTGCACACTCTCTGCCCTCCATTTCCAGATAGGATTTCTGAACTAGGTTGTCCATCCCACATTAGTGGACAAATAAATACAAATCCATATATTAAAGCCATGCTTTGTTTTAATAATATCTCTAATTTTAAGCCAATATTTTCATTTAAAAAACGGTAAGAGTAAATTTTTCTTTAAAAATAGGATTCACTTCCTTTTTTAAAGCCAAGCCTCTTTACTGCAAAAGAATAGCAATTCTAACTTTCTGAGGCATTTCTCTCCCCACAGCACTGAGTCACAGCACCATATACAGTAGACATGCAGTAAAAACCATCTCCCTGTCAACAACACAGCACACATTTATAGGAGGGCAAACATCAATTCAGTCTACCCGTATTTACCATGCATCTTTATGCATAAAGACTGTACTGACGCTGCAGGACCTAGAATGTAAGTCTAGGACGACTTAATCAACAGGCTGAAACTTGAATCACTGTTCTGCAACAAGCAAACGGTGATTTCACTTCCTTTCCCATCGGCCTGTTCAGGGTGAGCAGCTTTTTTTTTTTTTTGAGTTGTGATGCTCTGCTTTTCATTTGTTCACTTTGACTCTCTATCTCCTTCCTAAAAGTACTGATTGATTTTGTATTTTGAAAATAATTAAAATTAACAAGTTTCCAGAGTATTTAATGATGATTTTTCCATAGCCCTTTTTGGTTATTGTAAAGCCAGGGTGGGCGACAGGTTGTGAGCCCAGGGCCCTCAGTCTAACTTGCTATACAAAACTGCTAACAGTATGGCTGGAAAAAAGAAGGCCTGTTCTGCACCTGTCCTGACCGCCTTTACCATTAACAGCCGAGGGAGCCCCTCTGCCTTGGGCCCCACCTGCCATTCCACGTGGCTGGCCTCTCTTTCTTTAGTCTGTGCCCACACCTGCTGCTTACAGTGCAGCAAAGGTGCGGGTGATTGTTAAGAGAACCAGGCCTGCTCCACCTGCACCCGAAAGAGATGGCTGGAACAGAGCAGCTCTATGAAATCATTGTTACCACAGGAACAAAGACCAGATTCACAGTGTATTTTTCACCAAGATGACTTCCAGCAACAAATTCTGTGGAGAGGCTGGGAATGGATCTCATCCCACAGAGAAGCAAACACCAAGGGCTTGTGTTTCAAGCCCAACCCTCCTGACATTAGACAGTGGTAGCAGCTCCTGGAATTAGGAGCCCATGACGTTCCCCTAACAGCCTGCAATGTCTAGTCGTCACTGCCAGGCCTGGTTTCTTCACCTCCAGCAGAGGCTGCAACATACCATCCCCCAGCACTCATTGGGGCCATGATTGCAAACAGATTTCAACATCTCTTTACTTCTTCATGCCACGGTGAACCATATTCTCCTTCCTTTGGAGTAAACACTGTAGCCACCTCAGCTGCCTCTGAGTTTGTTAACAAGCCCCCAGGGGAAACCATTACCCTCCCTGCCTTTGGAAAAAAGCCCTGGTCCTCACATTAAAGGGAGCCAGAAATGTGCCTCATATTTTCTAGCATATACAGGCTTCTCAGGACACTCACACTTCACTGGACCATCCAAGGTGCTGGCTCAATGACATGAAGTTCTTCTGGCCTTCAGTGGTGGCCTGTTAAGACCACATGCTACAGTGAGGGGTAACCAAACCAAAAGGAAGGAGTGTCTCACTCTGGCCATGGTTTTTAGGAAGTTTATCTGTATGTGTCTTCTCTCAAAGGTACGAGTAGGCTTGAGTCACAGTGTAAGAGACCAAATAAGACTTTCATGTTAGTGAAAAATGAGACGGTTCAATGGGCTAAGAAAAAAGTTTCTGTTCCGAGTCACTCAGGGACTCACTGGTAACTGGAAGGACAAGCGTGTATGTTTCAGTTCAATCACCATGTCCCGGCCACATTTCCTTCAAAATCCAGTCACTTTATCTCCACTCTTACTAGTAGTTTCCAAGCCTTTGACAAGTCATATGTGGACACCTTTTCTCAAGTGGACTTCCATTTCTAATCTCTTCTTACTATAAGCAATTCTGAATAGATAAATCTTAAAATCTAAGTTAATTGATAATAAATGTAAGTCCTGAAATGCTAACTACAGGCCAGCCAGTTTGATGAGAGTTTTATATCCATCATTTCAATGAATCTTTACGATTCTACATGATGAAAATTATCCTCATTTGATGAGGCCAATGCACTGGGGTGAAATTTCTCAAGACAGTAATGGCAACTAAATTGCAGAGGTAGGAGTCAAACCTGAACCAATATGACCTCAGAAATGGTCTTAGCTATCATACTATACAGCCTCATGGAAACCTGTACCTAAGCCTATCAAGGCTTTCTACCATCCATCACAGCCAATCTAAACTTTATCTGATGTTTATATTTTGGAGGAGGCAATCCCCTCCTGAATTCCCCCTATGTTCACAGTCCACACTATACAATTGAACAGTGAATTACACTCTGACTAATATGTTTGCTAAGTGTTTTACTGAAATCAACCTCCCAATCACATTATTATTTCTTTAATGGCAGACAATATATTTTAAGAGCACTCGTTATATACAATCTTACCTAGTAGAGTGCTGGCATGTCACAAGAATTCACTGACTATTTGAGACTAATAGCTGCTGTACATAATGATAACAGCAACCTTACCATATGCTGGGCACTGATCTAAGGCTCTCACATGTACTGACTTTTCCAACTCTCACTCCAATTCTCACAATAGGTACTGTCTTTACCCCCGTTTTACACAGAGGAAACCCTGGGCATTGAGCTCAAGTAAATTGCCCAAGTCAAACAGCTAGTAAGGGACAGAGCTAGGATTCAAACCCAGGTAATCTGGCCTCAAAGCACACCCTCTTAACCATTATTTAAAATATCTGGGTCCATTGAAAATAAAATTGTGTCAGCAACGAACAATAAGAATAATATGGGGATGATTTTTTTCTGTCAACAATCAATAGAAGGAACCACATGGAAAACAATACAATTTCGTTTTGGGAACTACCTCTTACTAGACTATTCCATTCTACAGTATCCTTCCTAAATATATCTGTAGAAAAAAGGTTCAGTTTTCCCCCAATAATCCAAAACTTATTTTATTTCAAAGGCAATGATAAGCAAAGGAGACAAATTTCCTGAAAAGTCAGTCAAGTTAGCTCCTGATCAGCTAAAACACGGATTAATATCCATTAATAACAAAAAGCAGTTTCTTTGTAGAGTAAAAGGAAAATCAATCCCAAAGCTTCTTGATTTTTTTATTATATCCTTTGGTCCCTTTAAGAACACAAGGCGCACCTTGCTGTTGCTTTTGGTCTGTTAAGGGTCACAGAACAGGACACAGCAAAAGGGACCCACACCCCTGACCAGCAGGTTTCAGAGTGAAGTCAGAAAGCTGAACTGGTTGCCGGGGTGGAGTGGAATGGGAATGGGGTGGGTGAGGGCTAATTACAAGACAACTTTACAATATCTTATGGGTTAAGAGTATTAAGTTCCAAATGCCAGTTGTGACAGAGTGAGGTACGACGTTTCTCTTTACATCTGTATACAGGGACAGAGTCACCCTCCTCTTTTATGGCCCACCCCTGCCTCCACCTGTTGAGTGCCATGGTGACCGTAGCTCCCTGTTGCATCTCCTGAGAAGCTGCCACTGCGGCCTCTGCCAGTGATGCTACCGCCTGGGTGGCCTCTGACGCTTGCGTCGTCTGGATGGTCATCTCACCCCCCTGTAACGTGGCCCAGTTTTGTTCCACCTGAGGCAGAAAAGGACAGGCTAGTTAAAAAATCAGTCACAAGAGGATGGTGATTATGATTTCAAAAGTCATATTTCTAAAAAATTGCCATGTGCTCAGCCAAATACATACATACTATAAGGTAACATGACTTACAATGTATAGGACAGGGTTTTTAGCATGATATTTTTTGGGTTAAAAAGGGAGTATTAGAATATATATTTGAATTTGCTTACGTTTGCACAAAGAAATTCTGGAAGGACACAAAAGAGACCAATGAGAATATTTTCCTCAGTGTGTGGAAATGTGGGAAGAGGTTGGATAGAAAACAGAAAGCAAGATTTTCCACTGTATCCTTTTAAATAATTTTCAAAATATCGGAGTTTTTGAATAAACCATAGTATACTTCTAAAAAACAATTCAAACTGTACCGAAGGGGATACAATGCCAGTATTCCAGACTCTGCCCAAAGGCCACTACTATCACCTGTTTCTCCATTTCTCCTGCATCTCTCTGCAGAGATATTCTCTTGATATATGAGCGTATTCAGATACACACACATACTCTGAAGAAAAACTGCCAGCATATACTACATATACTCTTATACCCTGCTTTTGTCACAAACAATACAGCTCTGAAATGATTCTAACTTGGAACGTATCAAACTGCTTCATTCGTTCATGATTCATAATAATGGCTGCATAGCATTACATAGATACACATGATTTATTTAACCAGCCATTTTTTAATGGGCATTTAAGTAGCTTCCAATGCTTTGCCATTACAAACAGTACAGGATGATAAACTTACATACTACTCTGTATAGTTTATGTAAGTCTACTTATTCAGTAAACTCCTAGAGGTAGAATTATATATCAAAATTACTTTGTATTTTTCTTTTTGAAGGAAACTGCCAAATTTAATAAATAATTTTTTTAATGTAGCAAGAACTGCTTTTCTTTTACTGGCGAGGAATTATGAAGAAACAAAACAAACAACAAAACAAAACAAAAAACCGTACTATCTGGTTATTTGGGATAGATCAAAATTTAGTTTTTTTAGATCTAGCACAGGGTTTCTCAGCCTTGGCACTATTGACATTTTAGGTTAAACAATTCTTTGAGTTCTGTCCTGTGCACTGTAGGATGTTTAACAGCATCCTTGGCTTCTACCCAAGGAGATACTAACAGCATCCTCCCCAGTCATGAGAATCAAAAATATCTCTAGACGCTGCCAAACGTCCTCTCTGACTGGCACGGGGGTGTCCCTGGTTGACAATGACTGATTTCAATATAATGCTTTACATTAAGAGATTCCATCCCCCCACCCCCGCCCCCCAGTTCTGGATACCTGAATCTAGCTACTTCAGTCCATTTTGTTCAATAAATACTGTTGAGTATCTCTCCCATCCCCCCAACCAAAACCCAAAAAGCAGCAGGGGCAATAAAAGCCATTTCAGTTCTAAAATATAGCAGGTAATAAGTCAAGCAGTTCAGATATAATGTTTCTACAGATTCAGGTCTTAGGATGCTAGCTGTTCTTACTGGAGCTCCCACTGGGGTCCAGTGCTGGTTCACTTGTGCCTGTACATTACTGTGTCCCAAAGAAAGTACCACAAGCTCTAAGAGAATAGATCCTTAAAATGCCTTCCTCTTTGGTTCTATTGCTATACTTTGATTATCACAGTGCTTCTTCAAATGTTTGTCAAAGGCCCCCCCAGAGAATGAGACACCACTCTGAGCTACCTTAATATGTGCCCTAAGTTCTTATGGGCAGTGGGTTCTGGCTGCAAGCCTTCAGTGCTCTAACAGCCAGAGACATCCTACTTCCTTCGTTTAAAGCTGCAAAGGTACCCACTCAGGAATTCACAAAACTCTTGCTTCTTAAGGTATTACTGCTTTGGTCTTATTACTCCAACGAGCATCACAGAAAACAACATCATTTGAGATAACGAATTACACTGCCAATTTCTAGATGGCCGATGATTCTATTCTGAAAATCAGCTGAAGCTGGCCAGTCCTGTAGCATTTCCTCTTTCCAGATCTGCCCCAACTATACTTCTGCCCACCCCACTGCGGAGTGTGGCCCCATGCAGTTCTCCCAAGTACTCATGCTCAACTCACAGCAGCAACTTCATATACATGCATTTAGTTACAGCTATTATTTGTAGTGGAAATGGTATTAGAATGTTGCCATATACAGTATACATTAAGGGAGTTGAATTTATGGCACAGAAGATTAATGGATTGTGGTAAAGGGTGGAGAAGTGGGAAGAAGAAGTAGATGAAGAGATTTCAGAGTAATGACAGGCAATACATCAATCAGCTTAGGTGTTAAGTTTCTCTGGAATTTCCTATTCTTGAGTCTCAGTGCTTTGGTTGTGCTTGCCTGGGCTCTTGCTGCACTCCCTTGCCATCTTTAGGGAGCCACTCTATGGTTATCTATGCCTGGGTGTCACCATGTCCCAGAGAAAGGGCCACACACTTCAGAAGGGAAAGATATTCAGAGGACGTATGGTCAGCTTTTGTGCTTTTCTGAGACAGAGCCCCTACAGTGAGGCCTTTCAAACTGTGGCGACCTTTTCACTCTGGCCACCACGAACCACCTGTGGCTCTTCCCACTTTCACACTGTGACGTGCTGCGTGTGCTGCTCCCTTTGACAGGAACACAACTCCCGTCCTTCCTGCCATTGCTTCCTATTCACCCCTCTGAGATCAGGTGAGAGTTAGGACAGCTCCCTTGAAGACAACTCCCTATAGCCCAAGGCTCAGGACCTCTCCTTTTGTGTCCCACCACACCCTGGGCTGGCTTCTACTAGATCCTTATCTCATTGCCATTTTCTCTGATGTGTTTTTCTCTACCAGCTACCTGTGGGCTCTTTAAGAGAAAGGAAGGCTCCAACTAATAAAAATAAATGGGGGAAAAAAATGATAAGTAAATGGATTCTTAAAGAGAAAAAAAAAAAGTAAGAGCAAGGAAGGTCTTTATTTTCCTCTACTTCTAACATATATAGTGCCTGGCACAGAACTCAAAAAGCATTTACTTAACGGCCAGATGAAGAACATGTTCCATTATTCACATTTCCCTGCTTGTTCTTCAGTGTGCTCATATTTCAAATAAATTGATATTCATAAAAAGCCCACCTAAAATAAGTTATGCTACTTCAGAACTGTTAACATGTGTTGATGGTTCAGTTTAAAGTTCATGTCTCTAATGCGTCCATATTTCAGTTCTTCTGCTGCTTCTTTAACGGAATCATGTGTACCACTATTATCAGATATCATAGTGATGAAACTAATTGGATGTTGAATGCAGTATGATTTAATGTAAGACCTTTCACTGGCAAGGCTAGGATAACAAAATGACCTTACAACTTCTAAAAGTATAAATACTGTTTATTTCTCTAAAGTACTTTCTGTTCCTGGGAAGAAACTATGATAAATACAGGCAGTAGGATGTTTCTCCTGAGTCATCTGATGCAATGCTTTGTTGGCTTGATGTGGTCTTACCTTTCCAAGCCAGTGAGATAGTCTGACTAATCACAGCACTCGTGGCTCAAAACTAAGATGCCTAACAACCATGTCAATATCTAAGAGAAATCAGAAGGCAAATAGAAGCTAACTATAAAATCTAAAACATTTTGCCACTTTCTGAGACAACGTATGCTTCTTTTCTTCATAACTTTTTTGTTTTATTGGAAATACAGGAAGGATTTGAATTTTTAAAATCTGACTGAATTTGGATATTTACCAACAGGTTATTTGTGTATGTCATTCACATACTTCCATATAAATGACTTAAAATGATGTTAGTCTGCTAGAAAAGCCACAGATACGTGACTAAGATGTTTTTTCCCTTCATATTTTCCATGAACTTTTGAAAACGTTGATTACATGAAGTCATTTTGTAAAACAGGTTTCAAAAAATTCATCTCTAGAGAAGTGTTTTTTTTTTTTTTACAGTGACTAACACACAAAATAGGTACTGTTTTATTAACACTTAAAAACCAAATTATAATAGGCAGAGCTTTTAATGATTGTTGAAATAAAATTACAATAGGCAGAGCTTTTAATGGAGCTACATATTGAACACTGCAGATTAGACAAAAGTTCTGGAATTGGAAGTAAAACCCATTATTGAACAGAAGGCCTTGATTGCTGACAGAATCTCGACCTAAGACAAACGTAAGGGAGTCAGTAATGAAGTCCAGGATCGGTAAATTCAAGCAGATATCGCAGATGCCAACCATTAGATGGTTTTCCCACGCAGGGTAGAGAAGTGTTTAAGAAGCTCAAATAGTACCCAGGAAATGTTCAGTAGGGAGATATGGTAAATAACTTCAAAAAGTAACCAATCCCATAAATGTACCAACCTTTGTCTTTGCTACCTCCTTCACACTTCAGGGAGTGTCTGTCCTCTAGTCTCAGTGTCTGGGGACTGACAACTTTCCCCCTCAGCTAGTCCATTCTCTTTGATGATGACTACACACTTTGATAAGTCAATCTCCTGTTGACTTTTATCTTTCTGTACTGGAAAACCAAAGGCCAGCTCCTGCCCCAAATCCTCCCAGTCTCGGTTACCAGAAATACTCGATCCTGAAGGTACCACTCTGCAGCATCTCTTATAGCAAGGACCACAGTTCATTCACACAGGCCCTCTCTGAGAGCATGGTTCCTGTGTAATTCAGCTCCATACATCTAACACCTGAAATGCAGCATGGCAGCGGCTCACCACACGCTGGCTGGCAGGAGCCTGCTGTGATTCTCTTCACCTCACTAGCCATGAAATGCAGCAGTTCTCTACCTTTCCTGAGATGCACAAATGATAGTGATTTTGTGATGTTCTCAGTGGAAACAGTCTATGGTTTTGAACAAAGGGGAGATAATATTTTTAGTTTCATTTCTGATATGGTTCTGTGACATCTGCTGGCTAGTTTTCAAACTTCAGGAGTACAACCTTTAGGGGAAAAGCCCATAGTGACTTAACAAACCCTTTCCTGAACTTCATTGATGGCTCAGAGCTTAGACGACATTTTTCTAAATGTGTTACCCAGCTTCAACACTTAAGTTACTCTGTACCTTTGGACAAGTCACCTAACCTTTCCCCTTTTACCATGTAAAAAGCGAAGATGATAACAGAACCTATACTTCCTAGAGGTGAGAAGTGCTTAGTTTACTAAGTGCTCAATAAAGGTTACTACCTTTAAGTTTATATCCCATAATTAGCTCACTTTTGATATGGAAGATTTTTCTTGCTTTTTTTGGCTTCTTTGGGGGTTTTCTTGACTGTGTCACACAGCTTGTGGGATATTACTTCTTCAACCAGGGGCTGAACTTGGGCCATGCAGTGAAAGTGCTGAGTCCTAACCACTGGACTGCCCGGGAATTCCCAAGGAAAGATTTTCTCGTGAAGTATTTTAAAGGCTCATTTACAATACAATAAATCATGTCTACTGATTTACAAATATATATATGTATATATATCCCTTCAAAGAATGTTTTAGTCAACTTGTTTTAATGATCTAATTTTTAAAAATAAAGTCTAAAGATTAAATTCTTTGGGATTCACAGCATAAAAGCATTTAATGGATATAAAATGCTATGCTGCAAATGTAAAATTTTAAGTTCCTGACAGTTATGTCTGAGTCATAAAGATCCATTAATTTCAATTGTTATACACAGAGTATGCTATTTCCAAAACTGGCATGGAATGATATTTTTAGGTTTAGATAAGACAATGCTATAGATGTCTAGGCTACTTACAGTATCTTCGCATTCTGGCCCCTACCTTCTCCTCCATCTATATATTCAAGCATCAAGTGAAAACAGACTGAATCCTCTTTCTTACCTCTCCATCAGCCACTGCCGAATAATTCACTTGGGCAACAGTGACTGTGGTTGGCAATTCTGAAGCATCAGCCAATGTGGCTACTGTTGCCCCTGTACCAACCTAAACAAAAACAATGAAGTGTCAATGAATGGGTTCTTCAACCTCTCCTTTGCTCAGAAGTGAAGACTCATTCAATCCCAAACTCAGTAGAGGTAATGATTAATATGCACTGAAATACGAAATCAATGACTAAAATAATACATCAGACACTAACATGAGCTTCAGAGTTTTACTTCAACCAAATAAATCAATATTAGAAGCCATCATGTTTCATCACTGGTGCCTTATGTCAGCTAACCAACTTTCTCTTCTCACCTCAATCTGAATTTTAGACGTTCCCTATCTACCAACAAATTGTGTTTTACCTCAGAAGAGGTAATTCAGAAGGACTGCTTCCTGGCCACTAACAGAGAAAAATAACAAAAAATTAAAACCTTTTTTTTCTTTTAACAGAGCTTTGATTTGGAAATATACAGAAAAGCTATCTATAGCTCTGTATTTAGCAAAATACAAGCAACTTAAAATATTATTTAAAAAATCAAGTTCAGGTAGGGAAGATCTTAGGGAGCTGTATAAAGTTCATATAAAAATTTATGTAAATAAAATTCTCTAGTCTGATCTGCTTCAGAAACCACAATCTGATTTACTCACCATAAGGTTTACTCACCTGGATAAGCGAGACAGTGCAGCTCTGTATTTAGCAAAATACAAGCAACTTAAAATATTATTTAAAAAATCAAGTTCAGGTAGGGAAGATCTTAGGGAGCTGTATAAAGTTCATATAAAAATTTATGTAAATAAAATTCTCTAGTCTGATCTGCTTCAGAAACCACAATCTGATTTACTCACCATAAGGTTTACTCACCTGGATAAGCGAGACAGTGCCATCAGGGTTACTAAAAGTCTGGACTACGGTCTGTGATGGTACCAGGTGGGCTATACTGTGTGTGGTTGTGGCCTGTGTTTGTGTTTGTTGATCTTCAAAAGCATACAAAAGGTCCTCCCGCCCATGCTGTTTATAACAGTTTTTAACTATGGTCCGTAGTGCTTGGGTCCATGAAACCTGTCATCGACCAGAAAAGCACATAAAGTCACAAAGAATGCTGGTTATTTAGTTCCACTGGTTAGTTTCAGTTGGTTAGTTACCAAACAAATCAAATCAAACTGGGATGGAGTAACTCTCTTCAGGATTACTTCTCACAGACCCATGTTAACATGAGGAAATTCAGCACCAAGGACCAGAGATTTCACACTGGTTTCCTGCCTGATCAAGGTCTGGATTAGCTTTTGGGTTTTATACCCTACTCTAACCTGAGGGAATGAGGAAACAGTGTCAGACTTTATTTTTTGGGGCTCCAAAATCACTGCAGATGGTGACTGCAGCCATGAAATTAAAAGACACTTACTCCTTGGAAGGAAAGTTATGACCAACCTAGATAGGATATTAAAAAGCAGAGACATTACTTTGCCAACAAAGGTCCATCTAGTCAAGGCTATGGTTTTTCCAGTGGTCATGTATGGATGTGAGCGTTCGACTGTGAAGAAAGCTGAGCGCTGAAAAATTGATGCTTTTGAACTGTGGTGTTGGAGAAGACTCTTGAGAGTCCCTTGGACTGCAAGGAGATCCAACCAGTCCATCCTAAAGGAGATCAGTCCTGGGTGTTCATTGGAAGGACTGATGCTGAAGCTGAAACTCCAATACTTTGGCCACCTCATGCAAAGAGTTGACTCATTTGAAAAGACCCTGATGCTGGGAGGGATCGGGGGCAGGAGGAGAAGGGGACGACAGAGGATGAGATGGCTGGATGGCATCACCGACTCGATGGACAAGAGTTTAAGTAAACTCTGGGAGTTGGTGATGGACAGGGAGGCCTGGCGTGCTGCACAACTGAACTGAAAGAGACATGACTGAGCAACTGAACTGAACTGAACCTGAGATCAACTCGTAAACCTCTCATAAAAGAAGGTTACTCTTTTGTCAAGAATTTTATTTAAGATTCTTAGTAAATTTTAAAAGCTAACCAAAAAACAAATATGCAGAACAAGTAAGGGAGGATACCTGGTTTTAGTCTTTCTTCTTTTTTAAAATGTTTCATTATCAGCAGACTTGACTAGTTTCACATCTTTCTCTCTATATTTTCAACAGTGATTCTTGCTAACTAGAAATAAGGACATTTCTGAGTCTTCAAAGTGATTAATGGGGCTTTCCAGGTAGCACTAGTGGCAAAGAAGCTGCCTGTCAAAGCAGGAGACTTAAGAGACATGGGTTCGATCCCTGGGTCAGGGAGATCCCCTGGAGGAGGGCATGGCAACCCACTCCAGTATTCTTGCCTGGAGAAACCCCTGGACAGAGGAGACTGGAGGGCTCCATCCATAAGGTCACAAAGAGTTGGACACAACTGAAGCGACTTAATATGCAAAGTGATTAATATTTTTACTTCAAGTTTCTTTAGTTTTCCAAGCACCTTATAAAATTACAATAGTCCAAAAGGCAACTGCAGAGAGAAATATAAATTCACAGACCTATCCTAAGTCTTTATGGTGATGGGCTGATAAATGGGAATTAGTGGATATCAAACTTCTTTTCGAGGATGGGTTTGGCTACTAGACACACTTTTAGACTTTTTATAGCCTAAGAAGCAGAACAACAAAAACGAGCTGTTTGGTTCAGAATAAAAAAGCAGCAGGAAACTCAGGCTGGAGAGGCCTCACCCTCTGCTTCTGCTCCTCTGTGCGGACGTCACTCCTAACGTTTGCCCACGGGATATCCTCAGGCCACCAGATGGGCTTGCAGCTTTCTTTGCCCCAGCCTGGTTTCCCCCGACCTGTAGAGTACTTCAGCATCTCTGGGATAAATGCCCGAAGCTGGGCCTGGAAAACAAGAGCACAGTCATCAGCAGTCATGAAAGACATCTGGGATATGTTTGTGTCTCCCAACAAATTTTAAGATTATAAAATAAAGAGCCTTTCTGGAGGGTCCTAGAGAGTTCCAAAAATGTGATGTTAGAACTGACTGCTTCCCATAGGTTACTAGAGCTCCATGGGTGATGGAGAATTATATGCACAATGATAAAGTGCACCTTAAGCTGCATGTCATACACTTGTTCCTATAAGATCAAGAATACCTAGCCCCTAAGGTTTGACTTCCACCCCCTAAGGTTCTATTGATGCTATAGCTCATCTCCCTTCTAGAACATCTATGCATATAAGGTGTCAAACAAAGTCAACATGTTTTCAGAAAAAAAAAAAAATGTGTTTTTCTGGAGATAGTAATCAGAACAATAAGATGAGAGAAATAAGAAGTGAGAAACAAATGAAAATCACTATTATTTGTAAATAGTATGATTGTGTATCTGGAAATCCCTAGAGAATAAAATGAAAACCCACCATAAACAATAAGAGAATTCAGTAACATGACTGACTATATGAAAATATATGAAAGTAAATGGGATTTATTTAATAAAAAGGGAAAATAACTCTAAAACTCTTCTAAAAAGTTTTTAGTAAGGTAGTCCAATGTCTATGAATTTGACATAATTGCGAACAATGATTTTTGGCAAGAGAATAAGTTTATCAAGTTATAGTCTTCCCCCTCAGACCTACTGCTTTCCTTTGAACCTGATGGTCTACAGTACTCCAGACATAAGCAACATCTTCCATCTAAGGACACACTTATATTGCCTCTTATGACCAAAATGAGAACAACTTTAGCATGAGTCAGACCCAAGAATGTGGACTTGTAGCTTATAGAGAAAGAAAAAAATCAGAAATGGGAATACTTAAGTATTAATGAGAGAATGAGTAGAGCAACCCTTGTATTGAAGAACCTACTTAAATATCAAGCTTTCTCATTTAAATATTATTTAATTGAAAGATGATAGAAATTAGCAGATAATATGGGATCACAAACCCAAGTCAGTAATGTTCACCTAATAAAAAGTTTTGGTTGACAGCATTTACATTGCTAATTCGTGTCCCAAGCCTGCTATTTCACCTCTCTTTCTAAGCCCCCCCTCATCTCCCAGACAGTCTCCTGACTGCAGGATATGATATAATACACTCTGTTATATATTTGGCTCTGTGGCATCAAGCAGCAGGCTAATAGAAATGTATCCATTTGCAAACCCAGGCTATCAGCTGGCTCATGAGGTCACTTCTTCAGTTATTTTAAGAAAGTGCATCTCAAAGTCATTTTTCCCTTTATCCTAGCTTCCTGGGAGTGTGTCTTTTTCTAGCCTCAGTTATATAGAGAAGGAAAAGGTTCAATCCTCACAATATTTACATTTCATCATATGAAGAAACAATAGCTTTCTCAGATGCATAAACAAAGTAAACTCATATCACAGATTTTTACATCTCTGCTTTCTTTTAACTCCATTATCAGTCTCCAAAAGGAGAGTTCTTCATATCCATAGAATGAGGAGATAATGAAACAAGAAGGCTAAATATCTCTAAATTAACAAAAAAATGAAAGTTTTCTTAAAGTCTGAAATGATGTTTTATTTGCTAGAATTTCTAGATGGGAAATATTTCAAAGCCCGAGGAAGAAGACATAGTAGAGGCTAATGAGAGGCAGCAGAAACAGAAGCAGCACAAAGGAAAGGAGACTTCCACAGACAAAAAAAATCCCAGTAAGTTAAAAAAATGGACCCAGAGTGAAATTAACAAATTTCAATATAGAGTCAGATCTTAACTTTTTATTTTTTTATTTTATTTTATTTTTAGATCTTAACTTTTTAAAGTACTATCAACTGTACAAAATTTGCTTCTATATAAAAATAAAAGGCAAAAAGCACTTTTTACCAGAAAAGTTAACTTTTCAAGTATGTACAGTTTAGGGATGAAGGACAATTTTTGCTTTGAAGTGCACAGAGATAACGTGATAAAGGCAATTTTCCACCGCACTATTTTTATACTGTTCCAAATAACGAGTGCTCACAAAGGTATATTAATAAAGGGAAATGAGCTATCTAGTATAGAAAGAGTTAAATTATTTCTTTCCAGAATTCAACACTGTGCTCTCATTACCAGTTGGATTAATTACTGGTCCTGGAGAGTTTTGGAAACCCGAGCTACTCAATGCGCTTGTTAAGGAAGGTCTGTCTTTAATCCGCAGGGGAGACAATCAACAGGATGAGCAAAGGTAAAGCTTATCCTCTCTGGCTGTCCTTTAATTGGGCCGCAACAAGCTTTCCTGGCCTCTCATTCCAATTTAGGGCTCAAGACGGGCTTCAAGTGTCCAGTTTGGTAAGTAAGCCCACCTCAAATCAGCAGAGAGTAGAAAACACCACTCCTTCCAGGGCACATTCAGCAAAGAAAAAATATGTTAAATTTGTGCCAGTGGCAATCAAAAATAAAGATTATACGGAAACCATAGATAGTTTTTAAAAAGAAGATTTTTCTAACTTTTAAAGTTTTAATCTGGCCAAAATAAAACAATATTTCTTCTTATGCTATAAATTTTCCATTTGTAAATTCAGCCACTTCTTTGTGAGCCAACAATACATTACCCTTATATATTTCCAAATACTCTTCTTATTCCCTCTCTCTTTGCTCTGCATGTACCTGAGATAAGGAATTTTGAGGCTTCAGATGTCCACTTAGGTTCAGTTACCAAGAAAAGGCCTTTCAAAGCCACATTAAAAGATGATGTTTTCTACATCCCACAGGAAAACAGCAACGGAGCAGAGAAGGAAAACCAAAGAACTTTCAGACTGTGGCTTCATTATTTTAATTTAAAATTATGAACTTACAGTTGACAGTCCCTATCATACACTGATGGATATTTAAAGGGCATTAGAAAATAAAAGCAAAATGATTTTTTTGCTCGTTATTGGGAATTATTTGTACTCCTGACCTCTGTTCATAGAGGTAAAGAAAGTGGCTTTCCTTACTAGAAACACCAATACTATGTCCCCACATTCCCCAGGAGGGCCAGCAGAAACACTGGTTTCTCTTAATCTCATTTTCCCATAAAACACACTTCATTGGAAACACAGGAAGAACAAGTTTGGAAGAAAAGATAAAATCACAGAATTCAAGGGACAGCCAATGAAGACATTCCTCTCTCAAGCCAACACTTCTGCCTCTGTCCCCATACACCATCAATCCATTACCTCATCTCCCTCCCATTAATCAAAACGTTCTTAAAATTCTACCTTCTCTTTGAAGGAGTCTTAAGACTGGTTAGTTTCTGCTACCTTATCCTAACTGTGCTCTTCTGTACAAAAATCTAAATAACACAGATAAGGTCAAAGCCCTCTTCTTGATCCACCCTTCCCTTATCTAGTTACCTGTCCAGAGACATTAATTTGATGAACATCCTTTCTTACAGGTCAAATTCTATGAATCTGCACACATATATGCTGGGAATGGGGCTTCCCTGGTGGCTCAGATGGTAAAGTGTCTGCTTGCAGTGTGGGAGACCCAGGTTCGATTCCTGGGTTGGGAAGATCCCCTGGAGAAGGAAATGGCAACTCACTCCAGTACTCTTGCCTGGAAAATTCCAAGGACTGAGGAGCCTGGTAGGCTACAGTCCATAGGGTCGCAAAGAGTCGGGCACGACTGAGCGACTTCACTTCACATGCTGGAAAGGCACAGTTTTATGTGATGAAAGAAAACACATATATTTACATATTTTAGTATAATTCACTTTTTCTACTCAACATTTTGCCATAGAGATCTGCTCATGGTGGTACGAGAATAATCTCATTTTCAAAAAAAGTAGTTGCCTAGTATCCACAGTACAGATTTTTCCAACTTATTTAACCATTCTCCTATTGACAAACATTTAGGTTGTTTACAGGGCCTGGACAGGCTTCTTTAAGCACATCTGTGAGTATTTCTCTAGTAGAAAAGAATTGCTGGTTAAAGGGTATATGCATTTAACATTTTCATAAATACTGCATAACCAGAAGATTTTGTCAATCTTATTCCCACCAAAGGTGCAGAAAACAACCCATTATTTCAAAACCTCCCTTTGCTTTTCACATTTTTCCTTTGTTTTGCTTCCAAAAGGGAAGAAGAGCATAGCTCCAGCACCTGTGCACTGTCCACAGCCGCTGGGCCGGGACAGGTCCTGGCTCTTGCTTGCCAGCTGCCTTGAGAGTGTGGGGTGCACGGGGGCTTCACATGTGGCCTCCTGAGCTGCCTTCACATTTTCTAATTATTCTTTCTTATTTTGGCTCATTGGATGTGGGAGAAAGGATTTATTTTAATTATCATTACTAGTGAGGCTGAGACTTATATGTGTACTGATTATTTTTCTTTACAATTCATAAGACTTTATTTTTCTAATTATCTTTTCACTAATTTGAATATGGAATATAAATGCATGTTCCCTTCCCTTAGTATTCCTGAATAAAACCTGAATTATTTTACTCTATTCAAAACAGGCTGTGCTCTATTTAAGAACACAGCCAATGTTTTTGCTATTTTTCTTTTCTCTTGATCGCATCCTGCCTACCTAACATTTACAAAATGTGGAATGGCATCAGACACATCAGTACTTTTTGATCATTTCAGACAGTAAGAGAAGCCTACTCTGCACACAGATTCTGACATGACAGTAGGAGAAGCAGTTCGGACCTGTGATCCATAACAGTGGTTCTCAAAGTTGACTGCACAAGGAACTGCCTGGGGAGTTTAAACACTGCAGAAGCCTAAATCTCATCCCCAAATATTCTGGTCTAATTGGCCTAGAGCATGACCTGGGCACTAGGATTTTAAGTTCCCCTGGCGGTTCTACTGTGCAGCCCAGTTTGAGGACCACTGAACTGATGACTTTTTATCCACCCCTTCTTATTTAAAAAGTTTTTTAACTGTAGTAAAATATACATGAGATTTATCATTTTAAAATATATAGTTCAGTG